AAAGGCACTAAACAACTACTGACTGACTAGCAAACGCGCTGCTGTTCTACATCTTTTTAACCCCCTCCCCCCGCGATCGTCACGAACCAGCCAACCTTCTAGGCTTTAACAACGCCATAGCCCCATCAGTGAAAATTCACCCAGCAACCACTTCAGTAACACCCAGTTCAGACACTATCTTCACTAAAACTTTAATCAAAAGCCATCTCAGTGATTTTCCGTCCAGAAAACGACTGAGGATGTGCCCCCAATACTGATCAGAAAGAAGAAATATAACAGAACGTTACACTAAACTTGTAATGGCATCGCTAGCCATTTGCTCTCACAAGCAACCTCATTCGAAAGTCTCCTTCCCGGATTTCCCGATATCGCAACTAACCAGCTTCTTGCCAATTTATCTTGTCCTACAGTTTTAACTAAGCTAATTTCTTCTGCTTATCTCTTGTTTTTATTCCGATATTTCACAACAGCCAAAAGTCGATACCCTAGCCAATACCCCACGATTTAAAAATTTGGAAGCGGAAATGAACGCATCACAAGAGTAGCAAGCCAAAAAGGACTCTTTTACAGTGAATGTTTTGAAAGCAGAGAAGTACCGCGATCTTCGACGTGAACGGCTACGCTTGCGCGAGCTGTGCCTGCGTGATCGTGAGCTGAAAAAAAAAAAACACTCAGTTTGACTGCTATCGCTGTCAATATCCTTTTAGCATTCATTCAGTTACCTGTGCTCAGTGGCCAAAAAAAAAGAAAAACTCACACCTCACATCCCCTTACAGAAATGTTTAAGTTTTTCCGGCACGTTTCAAAAAAAAGAAACTTAGAACGGGATTAAAACATTGCTTGGATGAAACAGCAACGGCCTGGTTACAATAATCCATGAAGAATAGATGCTATTACTGGTGAATTTTTTACGGAAAAAATAAATCAAAACAAAACAGGAAACAAACGAGGGAACCGCCGTTCGCATGGACTAAAATAGATTACCACGTAAGAGGCACTGCAAGTACCATGCCCAGGTGGATATGTGGGCCCGCCTGCTAAACCATTTCAGAGAAAATGCATGGACACAAGGAGTGTCTGCCAGAGAGAGGCACCTACAGATTAAGTTCCAGTGGGACCAGGGTGACGCAAGTGCGAGAAATGCCTCACCGGGATCTTCTTTTGCGGTCACGGCTTGAGCTCCGTCGTCGTCTTTTCCTCTCTTTTTCCTTGTCGCGACTCCGCGAACGGCTCCGAGACGAGGACCTGCAACAGCCAGGATAAAGGCACCAACAGCGAACTGCACTGCTACTGGTGAAAAAGAAGGAAAGCAGAAAAAATCGGTGCGAGCAGTCGAGCAGTTGCTCTGGGAGAAGAGATCCTCCAGTCGCGTCCATACCGGCCATCGTGTTATGCCTGTAATACTTGGAGCGCGCCGGTTAATTTCTATCACAAAATTCCGGATATTTTCGAGAAAGAGGGGGACTTTTTTGGAAGCTAAGAAAGCAGTGAGAGGGAGAGAGGGGGAGCATCGGCGCGCCCCGACTGCATTGGTAGGCATAAACACATATGTGACATTCTCGCGTACCTCTTCGTCCACAATTCATCATCACCATGCTCAATTCACAGATTCCCAGATCGATGGATCGCGCATCATTATAATGCAGAAGGTACAAGGTGACACAGAGTTGTATCAATCGAGTTTATGTCTCTACAACGACGATTCGACTTAGTTCACGGTTTCTTTAACACAGTTCTTATCATTTCCCCACCCCTCGCAGGCCTGACTCCAGCTTATGCCTGCGCACGCACCGCAAAAATTGCAAAATTCGTTACTAGCTGGAAACGCCAAAGCTTGACAAACTAGGCTGTTCAACAGTCGCCTACAGCTCGATGCTTCTGAGAGGCCAAGCGTAGCTATCCCCAGCTAGCTTCCGACTTCATCTCCGCGCGCCTTCCAAAACGCATGTTAATTACGCAAAAAATCAGTCAGTGCTGAAAAATGTGAAGCTTTAGCGCTAGGACGGGGAGTGCGAGAAAAACTTCAACAAATCCGGGAATTTTTTTTTTTTGCATTTCCCCTAGCTGCTTGATTGTCGCAAAGAGAAAGCGCTAAGCTTTCTGGCTCAGCGTACCCACCTCGAACGCGATCGCTTCTTACGCTCACTGCTCTCCTTCTTCTTCTTACTGGATGCCGAGGACATCGTCCCATCCTCGGTGTCCATTTTTTCTGTCCCATTGGTCGTCGTGGTGTTCTGTGCTCCTCCCGAACCACCACCAGAAGATTCTTCTTTGTTCGGTGGATCGCCGCGTATTAAAGCTGCCATCGGCTCTGTGTGCCCATGTCCATTATTTCGGTCAGACTGAAAATGCCTCCAGTAACTCTGAAAAGTTGCCGAGATCGAAATTTCAATAAAAAACCAGACAGCAGCAGGTCCAAAAGCAGCGCTTAACAGTACCAGTGTGCAGAGTGTCGTTCCCCAAAAACTCCTTTTGCAAAAAAAACATGCGCTAAATCTTCGTCTCTGAATGTCGAGATTAAACTTTTTTGCCCCAGCAATAACTGTTAAAATTTTCGCCTCAGCAATAACTGCTATGCCCGATATGCCGGGAGATGTACATTCCCCTAGAAATAAGCCATTTGAGAAAGGGCCCATGGCTACTGCACATACGAAGGGACTGCTGCCACGAATATACCGAAAACGCGGTGGATGCCGGCTTGAGGTAAGCCGCTGAGGAACAGTGCAGAC